TTCCCCCCTCCCCAAGATTTTAATTCAGTTAGACTACAGCAGGGCAGGCACCTGCAATTTCTCAGAAGTTCCCCTGAGTGAGTATAATGGGCATTCGGGTGAGAATGTTTGGCAGGTAGAGAGAGAGAGATATGAGCAGTACAGTGATGCAGGGGAGGGGAGGGGAGGGAAAGATAGGTCTTGGATTCCTCTCTGCTGAAGGACACCACCAGCACTGGGTGCTTTCCAACAACAGACACTCATCCTCTCTCCCTCTGGAAGCTGAAAGTTCAGAATCAAGGCCATGCTCTCTGAAGGCTCTAGGCGGGTCTCATTCAGGCCATCCTCTGAGCTGCTGGTATTGCCAGCTGTGCTTAGCATTCCTTGGCTTATCGCTTCAGCACTCCCATCTCCACTTCATCATCACATGGCCTTCCCCCTGTGTGTCTGCCACTATTCGTCCACCTCGTATGAAGACACCATTAGGTCTCACCCCCAATGACCTCTACTTAACTTGATTACACCTGCAAAGACCTTACTTCCAAATGAGGTCACATGCAGAGGTACTTGATGTTAGACTGTCAATGTGTCTTTTGGTGTGGTGAGAACAAGGACGAGGGGGTGGGGGACGGGGTTGGTCATGGCTAGAAGGCTGCTGAGGAGGCTGCCCCCAGGAGGAAATATTTGAATTGAAAACTGACGGAAGCAGTCAAGTCACTCGGGGTAGAATGAAGATGGCAGCGCGCACAAAAGCCCTACTTTTGTACAGAGCCCTTGGGGCGTGGAAAAGCAACCACGTGCAGAGATTGGAGTTCAGAGCCACGGAATGAACTCTGGCAGCTTCACCTGCCTGAGCCTCAGTTTCCTCATCTGTAAAATGGAGGTTTATCTGAGCTGTGGCAAGGCATTTAGAATGGGAAGCCCTGGGAGGATCGTGAAATGATCCAACACCCATTTTTCAGATGCACCCTGATCTCTAAGTAGAAAATAGATTACACAGGCTGAAGAGTGGAAGGGCATAAAACCTCTGCAGCCTCCCTCTGTTTTGTGCTGGGAAAAGAGAGGGCAGACATTTATGTGTGCACCTACTGTGTGCTCTGGGGCTGGGCCCAGCATGGAAGGAAAGCCCAGTTTCTGTTTTCAGCAAGCTCAGTGTATTTGAAGTACTTATGTCTGTGGAGGTACACTGGGGGCTCTTGGTCCCCCCACACATGCACACCAGGAAGATCACCACGTGTATCTGTTGTGTAGACTGAGTCTCCATGTCATGAATTCATTTGAAAAGACAAGTCCAAGAGAAGGGAGCTGGGACAAGATAGTGTTGAGGACTCGTTCTAGGTTCTGGGCTTTTCCCAGAGTGGTGACCCTAAGCTCTCTTCTCCTCCAGGATTAACTCTGAAAAATCACTAAATCCTTTGTCTGCTTCCAACTCCGTCAACCTGGGTTTTGGAACCAGAAACATCATCTTGTCCCTAGTCTTCAGAAGGCTGCCTCGCTCTAGGTTCTGGGCTTTTCCCAGAGCGGTGACCCTAAGCTCTCTTCTCCTCCAGGATTAACTCTGAAAAATCACTAAATCCTTTCCCTGCTTCCAACTCCATCAACCTGGGTTTTGGAACCAGAAACATCATCTTGTCCCTAGTCTTCAGAAGGCTGCCTCATATTTATTGAGCACCTATTCTGGGGACAAGACCTCATCAAAGGGTTGGAAAGCAAGGGTGTTACCTTGAAGACGAAGGTGCATTTGGCCCAAGCCATGGTATTTTCAGTTTGTTTGTTTTTTAATCATTTTATTGGGGGCTCATACTGCTCTTATCACAATCCATACATACATCCATTGCATCAAGCACAAATTTGTAAAAACATTTCTTTCTCCTTGAGCCCTTGGTATCAGCTCCTCATTTTTTTCATCCCCCACCTTCCCTTCCTCATGCACGCTTGATAATTTAGAAATGATTGTTATTCTTTCACTGACCCATGTCTCCCTTCATCCACTTTTCTGTTATCCGTCCCCCTGGTAGGGGTTATATGTAGATCATTGTGGTCGGTTTCCCCTCTTTCCCCCCACCTTCCCCTTATCCTCCTGGTATCACTACTCTTATTATTGGACCTGCGGGGTTTATCTGTCCTGGATTCCCTGTGTTTCCAAGCTCTTATCTCTACCAGTGTACATGCTCTGGTCTAGCTGGATTTGTAAGGTAGAATT